GCGCGGGGGGCGGGGCTCACCTGCGTGGCCACCTGCTCGGCGGGGGGCGGCGCCAGCTGGCGCTCCAGCTTCTCGGCCTCCTTCTGCCGCTGCAGCTCCACCTCATGGGCCGCCAAGAGCAGGGCCTGGGAGGAGGGATGAGCTTCAGTCAGGCCCCAGCGCCCCTGCTCCCGTGCAGGCCCGTCCCACTCCTCACCCTCACCGCCACTCTGTCTCCATGCAGCCCCGCGCCTCCAGTGCCCCTGCCACCACAGGCGGGGACAGGCGGGGACAGGCGGGTTCCCAGACAGGAGGACGGGTGCTGCCCCCCGGCTGGGGCCAGCCAGCCAGACATGAGGTTTCTTTCAGGTGATGAAAAATCCCGGCCACAAACCATGCTGATGGCTCCGCTACGTCACCAGGAGCTGCGGCACTGTGCGCTGGAAGCGCTGACTGCGCAGCGCGGCCCACACCCCACACACGTGCGCACACGCCCACCCCGCACCCCACACACGCACGCCCTACACACACACACACCCGCTCAGGTCTCCACAGCACAACCGCAGGATCCCTGCGTCTCCTCCCCAGGGCCGTCCTGGCCTCGTGGGGCCACAGGACCTGCGGCACTTGCTGCTTGAGACTAGTCCGGTCCCTTTATTTCTGGCAGTGCCAGGGATAGAGCCCAGGACCTGTGTGTGCCGGGCAAGGGATCGGCGTGGATCCCGCCCTCGGCTGCGACAGCAAACCCTGCCGGCTCCGGGCAAGCGCCAAGCGGTGACTTGTGGCCCGTTTCCCTGCTGTCCCCCCTGCCCTCAGGTGAGCAGCGCCAGCACCCAGTGTCCCCGGACTCCCCAAAAGCAGCCCCCATCTTGCTCACCCACGCTGCACCCTCCCGGGCCTGTGTGGCTCCGATATCCCCTCCCCAGGCAGCTGGGCTGGCTGCGGACAGAGGACAGGCGCAGCTGTCCCCAGCACCAGGCCTCACAGGGCTGGGCCCTGGCGTGGACCAACCTGGTGGTCCTCAAACGTAGGGTTGTAGGAGGCTCCGGAGGGCGTCACCTCCACGGCAGGCGCTGAGGAGGGCTTGACGTGGAGACGCGGTGGGCGCTGCGGGGAGACAAGGCCAAGGCAGGATGAGGCAGGGCTATGGCTCGTCACACCCAGGTTGACACTCAAGTGACAACACGGTGCCGTCCAGAGACGGGCACAGGGATCACTCCTGTAATCCCAGCTACCAGGGAGGCTGAGGCAGGAGGATCTCAAGTTCAAAAATCACCGTCTCAAGAAACTAACAAAAAGGAGGCTTTCCCTCCGACCTTCTGAAACCGTAGCAGCTGGGGCTCCACCTGGAAGCGGAGAGCAGGTGCACGGCACACACGACACCTGCCGGGACCTCCACCCCGCACGCTGCTTCTGGTTCTCTCCCGCACTGTCCCGGGACTCTGGCAGCAGGAAGGGACGGAGAAGGCCAGCAACCCCGAGGCTCGAGTCCTCACACCCATGGCCTGGCTGTCCCAGCTCAGGAGCCACAGGCTGCCCAGCCGCACCGCCCGCAGCCTCCAGGACTGTGGGCCCCAGCGCCTGTCCGAGGCAAGTCTGCAGCGCCCTCTGCAGTCCTGTCACTCACTGCAGCCTGAGAACCCCAGGGACGCTGGGAAGACAGGAGACCCAGGCGCCCCCGGGAGCTATCCAGGGGACACACAGCCCCAGGGCCCGGGGACACAGGCGCCCAGGTGTCAGCTCTTGCAGTTTTCCCAACCACGCCACAAGAGCACAGGGCAACCCGCTCAGGACCCCGCCTGCCTCTCGGGAGCCGCTCCTTTTCGCCATTCCTTTTCTCCAATCAATTTTCCCACTTTCTGTTTTAACTTCCCCACTCTTAAAAGAAACAAAAAGCAGCAAACGTGGTTCTCAGGCTTTTTTCTTTTTTTTTGTAAGACAGGGTTTGGGATGCAGCCCAGCTTGGCTGTGAACTCTCTCAGTCAGTGACCCTCCTGCTTCAGCTCCTCAGCACTAGGGTTACGGGTGTGCGCCCCACGCCCGGCTACCACGTGCACTTTAGAGGAAGGGACAGGGGCACAGAGAAGCCAGGCCGCCGCCCGGACCACTCAGTGCTGGAGCTGTGACAGGGGCTCTGGCCGCCAGGCTCCGGCGCCCGGGCTCCCAGTCACCTTGGGTCACCAGGATGACAGAGACTGCAGCGCCCGCGCCCCCACCCCCGCCCGGGGGCCTGACCGCCCTTACGCATGCCCTCACCCGCACGCCTTTCTTCTTGGTCTGCTCAAGGAAGAAGTCATCCTGGCCGAGCAGTGCTCTGTCCAGAGGGTCTGTGGAGACAGCGAGCAGCTGCGGGGGCTGTCTGGTGAGGCCCAGGGGACCCCGCTAGCCCCTCTATTTAAAAAGCATGGCACGAGCTCAAGCCACATCTAGACGGGGTTCAAAGAGCGCAAAAGGCCAGGCTGAGGCAGGCTCCCCACTCGGGAAAGCAGCACAGCAGGAAGTGCTGGCCACTCGGGACATTCTCTTCTGCCGGGACACCACGGGAAGAACGCCCACAGGGCCGCCGACAGCCAGCTCTTCCGCGGCGTGTAACATGCACAACCGCCTGTGGCAGCTGTGCGCGCGAGCAGGTGACGGCAGCGTTACTCACTGTCTGCGGCCCACAGGTCGTAGAAGGGCCGCGCGATGGCATCCTGCGGTCCGGGCTTGCCCTTGGGCGTGGGAGGCTTGAGCAGCCTGGCCTGGGCCTTGCGCACCTCCCGGGGGAGTTCACCCTGCTTCGCCAGCCGCTCCCGTAGCTGCTCCTTCCGCCGGAGCTTCTTGGCGTTTGGGACCTGGTGGGCGAGGACGCTGGGCCGGGTGGGCGGGGGGAGGCACAGGTGAGGTGGCGGCACGGGGCCTCCCCGGCCCTCGCTCCAGGGAGGAACCCATCCTGGTATCACCCGAAAACCCAGGGCTCTGACTCGGGCAGCCTGGCTGTCCAACTTGCCACGTGCCCCTCCTGCAGCCCCGAATCACGCAGCACTCGTGACCGGGACCCCCTCCTCTCCACCCCAACACCCAGCCTGGAAGACACCCCCACCCCGCTGTCCTGGGCCCAGCAGTCAGGCCCCTCGCTTGCTCCAACCCACTCCCCGAAGTCCAAGGCTCAGATGAGCGCAGTGGTGCCTGCCTGTAATGCCAGCACTCAGAAGGCTGAGGCAGGAAGATCACTAAGTGCAAGGCCAGCCTGGACTACACAGTGGGACGCTGTCTCAAACACACACACACAAAAGCCCAAATCTGCCTGCTGCTCGAACAACCTGCCCTGCTCCCTACCCTCCAGGGAGGCCTTCAGGCCAGCGGCTGGCGGGAAGGGAAGGCCTGGGCTTGGGGACGCTCACTCTTTGGGGGCAGGGATCTTGGATGTGTTCTCAAGGATGAGGTCGACCCGCAGGGGCTTCTGGACCTGCAGCGACTTCCTCTGGACCTTGGTCTTCTTCCTGCTCCGCTCTGGAGTAGAAAAGAGGGGGGTCAGAGCTAAAGGCCTCCCCACTGCCGAAGACCAGCACCCCCAGCTCGGAGGCCTTTGTCCTGAATTATGCCAGTACATGGGGAAGCCCCAGAGCTGGGCCCAGGGTGTCCGGCCCCGCCCGGCCGTCACATCACAGCAGGGCAGGAGGAGGAAGCACCTGTGCCGCGGACCAGAAGCCACCCCCACCCGCATCCGCACCTGCAAGAAGCTCCCAGACCACAGAGAGCAGGCAGCTGGGGACCCAAGGCCCTGGGCGGGCCCAGGCGACTGAGTCTCGGTACAGTGCCTGTGCTCTTCACCCAGAAGCCTACCAGTGAAAACTGACCTGAAGAACACACCGTGCTAGAACACAACTGCACCCTTCGCCAACGGCGGGGTCCTGCGAAGGGGACCACCCCTGCACCTAATCCTGGGAACGTGGGGCCCCCTCGCTGGGGCACAGAACACAGGGATCGCTGCATCTACAAAAGGCCTCCCCTGTCCCCTCAGCCACTTCCTGTCTGTCTGACGGGCTTACTGTGCCCACACCAGATCTGCGCCTGCCTGTGAAAGTCTGTGATAATCGATGTCACTGCTCAGTCCCCTGGGCCTTTTGCCGCCCTCAGCCCACTGCAGCAGGTCGGGTTCTCACTGGACCCTTTGTTTTGTTTTGTTTTGGGTACCAGGAATTGAACTCAGGACCTTGCATTTGTTGGGCAGGTGCTGCACCACTCAGCCATATCCCCTAGAACAATTTTTTTTTTTTTGGTCTTTTTAAGGCAGGGTCTCACTATGCAATTCAGGCTGGCCTTGAGCTCACTTGGTACTCACAACGATCCTCCTGCCTCAGCCTCCCGAGGGCTGGATTTACAGGCGTGCGCCACCACACCCGGCTCACTGGACCCTTTGAGCAACCTGACGATGTGCACAGGGAGTCCTGGCAGGCAGAGCAGCGCCCCAAAAGCCGTCAGCTCTCCCGAGGAGGAGACCCTGCAGCTTGCTCTCCTTCACACATGTTGGGTTGCTCTCCTGCATATGGGCGGAAACCCTGCTGCTCATCAGGACAATCCCAGCCGCCCGTCCACCTGTCTCAGCAGGCCGATGCTGTGTCCCGGCAAATGACAGCGGCGTGTTAGGACCAGTTTCTTAGCTACTGGTTAAAAGATCCTCTTGTTCTTACACAAGCTCCTATTTTTAACCAGAACAAGCCCCATTCTGTAACAGCACTCAGCCTGTCTCTAATCTACTCATCAGGCACAGCTGGCATCTCCACACCCTCAAATCACTAATGCCAAAAAACCAAAAGCACCCTGGCTTCTCTAAGTTAGTCTGTGCTTGCACACCACTCATCCCTGGTGCTTCTGTTTGTATCAAAGCTGACTTTTGCAGTGTGTAGCAGCGTCTAGGCTATTGAGGAGGCTGGGGCAGGAGGATCTCAACCTCGAGACCGGCCTGGGCAATTTAGCAAGACCTGTGTCAAGATAAAATACAGCCGTGCGTGATGGCGCACTCCTGTAATCGCAGAACTCGGGAGGCTGAGGCAGGAGGATCAGCCTTTGAGTTTGAGACCAGCCTGGACTACAAAGGGAGCTCAAGGCCAGCGTGAACTGCAAAGCGAGATCCTGTCTCAAAAAGACAAAAAAAAGATACGAAAGGTTGCAGGTATACCTCAGTGGTCCAGTGTTTTCCTAGTGTATGTGAGGCTCTGGGTTCCATCCCCAGAACAGGTGATAAAAAAAAAAGCTGGCACACACTTAGAAGATGGGTGGCTCCCAAGCTGCACTATGAACCCGAATGGTGTCAGGAATCTAGCTCAGGCTGTGCAGCACCGCGAAAGCCCTCCTCACCTTTTTGCTTGACGCCGGTGTCCACAAAGAAGAGATTTTCGTCGGGGGCCTCTGACAACAAGCCACTGGGAAAGGCAAATGCAGACCATAAGCCAAGGACGTTGGGAAGACAACAGGTTCAACCTCTTAGGGTCCAGCCTTCCCCTCAGGCTCAAAACCCCTGCCCCGCTAGGGCCCCTTCCTGAGCCCCTCAGTTCACAACATTTTCCTCCCCAGTCCTGGGGATCGAACCCAGGCGTGCTCCACTACTAAGCAACATCCGAAGCCCTTCTACGTTATTTTATTTTGATTTTGTTTGTTTTGGTTTTTTCTCCGGTACCGGGAATCGAATTCACAACCTTGCGCTTGCCAGGCAGGCACTGTGCTGCTGAGCTAAATCCCCAGCCCCTATATTTTGAGGTAGGGTCTGGCTAAGTTGCCCGGGCAGGACTCGAATTTGCGATCCTGCTGCTTCACTCTCGCTAAGTACTGAGATTACAGGTGGGCATCACCATGCTGGGTCAAAAATCAGTATTTCAAACCGGGGGTGGTGGCTCACGCCTGTAAGGCTGAGGCAGGAGGATATCCCAGCACTCGGGAGGCTGAGGCAGGAGGATCGTTGTGAGTTCGAGACCTGCCTGGGCTACAAACAGAGCTCAAGGCCAGCCTGAATTACAGAGCGAAACCCTGCCTCAAAAAGACAAAAAGACAAAAAAAAAAAAAAAAAAAAAAATCAGTATTTAAGGCGCACCCGCCTGAACTGAAGCCCGGAACGTACTGATATTACGGAATCATCCGCTGTTCACTTAAGCTTCAAGATGGATCCGGTGTCTCGAAGATACTTGTGTGCTAAACCTGGTAACTCTATGGAGCCTCCCACCCACGCTGGGCTTTCCGCGTGGGGCCCCGAACGGGGGCCCCCAGAATACCAGAAGTCCCCCAACGCGGCCCCGCTCCCGGAAGTCCCGCCCCACGAACCCGATCGTGCGCTCCTGAAGCCTCACGTCCTCCAGGAACTGGTCAACCTCCAGCCCTAGCGGTTCCTCAGCGAGCCGCCGCCAGCCCCGTTTCTTATTTCTTGGGCCGCGCCGCCGCCGCCTCAGGGCCGGATCCACCGAAGTGGGCCGCAGCCCCAGGAAGCCAGAATCGGCATCCTTTTTTGAGCGCTGCCTGGCGCCACCGCCATTGCTTTCCGGCGCCATCTTATTAAAGGAAGAACTTTGGCGGCCGGCCCGCCCAGTTCCGGTTTGGAGCGTGCGCGCGCCGCTTTCCCACCCTCTCGCGTGACGTACTTCCTGTGGCAGCCATCTTGGTAAAGTAGTGAGAGCTTCCAAAGGACGGGCGAGAGTGGGGAATACGTTGCCATCTTGGTAAAGGGTAAATGGCTCCTCCCGCTTCTGGGCTGTACAAGTGGGATCTGCAGATTCTTAGCGGATGGGAGATTATAAATTCTTGGATCTCACCCTAAGTGAAAAACACTTTTCCCGACCACCACGGGTCTTTGCTGAACCCTTTTTTTTGTTTCTGTTTTTTGGTTTTTTGGGGTTTTTTTTGTTTTTTGTTTTTTGTTTTTTTCCGTTACCGGGAATCGAGCTCACGACCTTGCGCTTGCCAGGCAGGCGCTGTGCTGCTGAGCTAAATCCCCAGCCCCTCAAGCCTTTTTTTTGTGGTGCTGGGGTGAAACGCAGGGCCTCTCGCGTGCTGGGCAAGGGTCTACCACTGAGCAACGTCACGTCTCATGGTTTGTTTTTTGAACTACTCATTATGTAGTTCAGGTTGGCCTTGAACTCACGGCGATCCTTCCTCAGCCTCCCAAATTCTGGGATTACAGGTGCGCGGCACAATGCCCAGCTTGATTTTTCTTTTCATGCCCACCTCTTTTTGAGACAGGGTCTCGCTATGCAGTGCAGGCTGGCCTTGAGCTCGCTTTGTAGCCCAGGTTTGTCTGGAACTCGCAACAATCCTCCTGCCTCAGCCTCCCGAGTGCTGGGATTGTAGGCGTGCACCACCACGCTGGGCAGCCCGATAAATCAGAACTATCAGTATCAAATCCAGCGCCAGACATATTCCTATCTCAGAGTGTTTGGCCTCTCAGTTTTCCGATCCTAGACTCCAAATCAACATTAGAAATGCTAGAAACATACACTACTGGGATCCTTAAAAGACACAGAATCTTTCATCTTGGGCAAGCTACTTTGCTGTACTTCAGTTTAGTCATCTAAATGGGAATAACGCCAGATACTTTTATTTTCTTTTTAGTACTGGGTGCTGAATCCAGGGCTTTAACACTGGGCTACCTATATCACCAACCCTTTTATTTATTTTTTAATATTGAGACAGGTCCGGGCATGGTGGTCCACACCTGTAATTCCAGCATTCGGGAGGCTGAGACAGGAGGATCACCATGAGTTAAAAGCTAGCCTGGGCTCCGTGGTGGGTTCAAGCCCAGGTTGAACTACACAGCAAGACCCTGTCTCAACAAATAAAATGTTGAGACACAGTCTGGCAAAAATCACTGAGTTGTCCAAACTTGCCACCCTCCTTCCTCAGCCTTGCAGGGTGCTGGGGTCACAGGCGTGCACCTCCACACGCGGCTAATGACAGATGATTGTGCAAATTCAACGAGGTAACAGATGTGAAGCGCTAAAGACGGCGGACAGCCGAGCGTTAGCTATTGTTACAGACTCACCCCTGCGACTTCATCTCAGAGTCAACTCATCTCCGCTGTTTACAAATAAGGAAGGAAGCTCAGAGGCCCTTGGGGCCTGCCAGGCTTCCAAGGGGTTGCACCGTCCCCTAAAAGCCACTGTGTGTGTGTGTGTGTGTCTCTTTTTGAGACAGGGTCTTGCTGTGCAGTTCAGGCTAGCCTGAGCTCACTTTGTAGCCCAGGCTGGTCTCGAACTCGCAACGATCCTCCTGCCTCAGCCTCCCGAGTTAAAAGCCACTCTTGATTCTAAGGGGAAAGGCACAGGGAGGGCAGGCGCCACGTCGGGGGACACAGCACGGAGCCCCACCAGCTCCTCCGCAGGGCGTCGGGGAAGGCGGCAGGTCCGGGTTGTGCGGCCTCCAGACCCGCGCGGCGCCCTCCGGACAGCCC